GGATACTGCCAAATCTGCATCTTTTACTGACATTTTAGTTTTTAAAATGTAGTAAAGTTTACTGAACAGAAGTTTCCATGATCGTTATCCCTTCCCAGTTCACTGTCTTGGGTTCAAATCAAATTCTGTCACTTACTCACTCTGTGACATTGGACAAGGCAATGCTTCAGTTTGCTCATCTGTTAATTCTACTTCCTGATTGCTTCTACACTCAGATATTCTGACTTCTTTACAGGTTTAATGGACTCATGGTCTGTGCCCAGCAAAGACCCATGTCCCTATGTACTGGTCAGTAGCAATTCTCGTTTCTCTCTTTCAAATCAGTGCATTTTTCCTCTCAGCAGAATATTCTCCATCAGCAAAACATTTTTTGGTGAGGAAATTCACTCTGTCACCAATTCCCCACTAGCTATCTCATTTCATTCTTTCCCTTCCAGCAAAACATCTGACAGGAGTTGATCTTATTTACTGTCTTCAGTTTCTTTGCTTCTCCTCTTTCTTGAACATGTTCATTTCCATCAGGCATTTGACCTTATCACCATACTGAAACTGCTATTATGAAGTCATTAATGTCTTTTTGATTTCCAGGATACCGCACACTCCTGGTTTTCATAGTCCTCCTTTGTTGATTCCTTGTTTTCCTGGCCTGTTAATGGTGATGTGCTCCAAACCTCACTGCTCTGTCTACTCCTTCTGATGATTTCCACATGTGTAACTCCAGTTACCTCTGTGCACATCCGCAGCTGGATGTCCAGTAGGCATCTCAGATTTAGCTTATGTAAAGCTAAGCTTCTGGTCTTTTCTCCCAAACCTGTACCTCTTACATCTTGCCTCATATCCATGAATGGCCAATTCCTTTCTTCTCATTTCTCAATGAGAAAACTGAGGTTTTTGCCTAGACGCCTTTCTCTATCCAGTCCATAAAATGCTGTTAAAATATTAAAATATCTAGAATCTGACTGCTTTATTCTTCTTTCTACCACTTCTTACTTGATCTCCATGTTTTCTTTTTTATCTCAGAGTCCCTTTCATCCCAGTAGCCAGGGTAATTCCTTTAAAACATGCTAGACTATTGTTCTTCTGCTCAGAACTCTCCAGTGGCTTCACATCTTACTCAAAGAACAAGCCAAAATCTTTATAGCGACCTTCTGGGCCTTCTAAGATCAGGCCTTTCATTACTTTTTTGGCCTCATCCCTGACTGCTCTTATCTTGACCACTCTGCTTCAGGAACATTGGCCTCCTTGCTGCTGTAACTACTCAGTACTTATTATTCTTTTTTCTTAGAGACTGCTTCTCATCAAAAAGTTCATGGGAAAAGATGGAATTGAAAGATAATGAAACTTTTTGGATCCCCCCCATATTTTCATATCTTGTCCCTTTCCCTCTTTAAAGTCTTCTCTCAATTTTCACCTTTTAATAAAAGCCATTTCTACTATATGATATTCACCTTCCTGACATGATCGCTGAAGACAAAATGGGTGAATAAGCAAATGTGAGGAAGAAAGCTGATGGTGCCCAGCCATGAAAAGATATAGCATCTGGAGGCTTAAAGGCTTGTAGTTAAACAAGTGGCCATCTAGCGGGGAAGCAACAAAGCCCACGTGGAAGAAGCACACCAGTCTGTGTGATAATGAGATGTCAATGGGAATAAGTATCAGAAGTTCAAACCAAGCAATCAAATCGGTGTGAAGGGGCGTGGATGTCGTAAAAACCCAAAACCCACTCGTAAGATAATTGGACAGTTCCTCTCAGAAGAGGCACACGAAAGGGATGATAAATCCAGGGTATAGTACCGTATAACTATCCTCCAATTCTTTAATATTTTCTCCCTTTAATATTAAGGTTTTTATTTGTTTTACCTCATTAATCATGTTAGATTTGCATATGTACATTTGTATATGTAAGCTCGTTTGGTACATAAAAGCCAAGATAGATACTCCTTCAGAAACAGTGACAAAACTAACCGTTTCCTGAGGGTACAGGAAGAGGGGGTGGTAAAGGGGAAAATAGGGAGCTGATAGCATTGATGACTGTATAACCCCACTCAATGGGATAGAACAATAGAATTTTATGTGGAACTATTTATAGGTTTTCCCATTTTTGTCAGTGGCTTTCTGTTAATGTTATTTTGTTTTGGTTTTTTTTTTTGGTTGTTACTGTTTTGTTGTTTTTGACTTCCTTTGTTGTTTTATTTGGCTTTGCCTGGATGCCTTAGTGGGGCTTAATCAAGGGCAATGTAGCAGCAAGGAATTGCTAAACCCGAATGAAGGCTGAACATGATGGTGGGGCAAGAGGAAAGTAAAAGGAAATAGAGGAAAGAACCAGGAGGCAAAGGACATTTGTAGAGGTCTAAATACAGGCATGTACATATATAAATATATATAATGAGAGGGAATAGAACTATGTACTCATATCTATATGTTAAGAATTAAGGTTGCAAATAGACATTAGGCCTCGACTCAAGTACTTCCTCAACTGAAGAACACTTTGTTCTAACAACCTGGCATTCTGTGATGCTCACCTTCCCGACATGATCGTTGAAGACAAAATGGGTGCATAAGCTGGTGAAGAAAGCTGATGGTGCTCAGTTATCAAAAGATATAGCGTCTGGGGACTTAAAGGCTTGAAGGTAAACAAGCAGTCATTTAGCTGAGAAGCAACAAAGCCAACATGGAAGAAGCACACCAGCCTATATGATCATGAGGTGTCGATGGGATCAGGTATCAGGCATCTAAGACCCAGAACAAAATCATACCCATTGTGAATGAAGGGGGATATTGAGTGGAGACCCAATGCCCATCTGTAGACAATTGGACATCCGCTCACAGAGGGGTCACGGGGAAGAGATGAGACAGTCGGGGTGCAGTATAGCACTGATAAAACACACAACTTTCCTCTAGTTCTTTGGTGCTTCCTTTCCCGAAGGATTGTGACCTCAATTCTGCCTTACAAATCAGATTAGTCCAGAACATGCACACTGCTACAGATAAGAGGCAGCAACACAGGGAATTCAGGATAGATAAACTCCTTAGGGCCAACAATGAGAGTAGAGATACCAGGAGGATTAGGGGAGGGTGGGTGGAGAAAGAGGGAATCAATCACAAGGATCAATCTATAACCCCCTAACCCCCTCCCAGGGTGACAAATAACGGAAAAGTGGGTGAGGGGTGACGGAGGACGATGTAAGATATGAAAATAATCTATAACTTATCAAGGTTTGTGAGAGAGGGCCGGCTGGCGGGGGAGGGAGGGGAAAGAAATAGTGAGCTCATTATCAGCTTCAAGTGGGAAGAGAATGCTTTGAAAATGATGATGACAGCATATGTGCAAATGTGCTCAACACACTTCATGAATGTATGGATTGTAATAAGAACCCCCAATAAAAGTAAGAAAAAAGAGAATTGTATGTGAATGCATATATTGCTTGTGTAAGATATGGCATAAATAAATAAAAATTAAATAAGGATTCCAGGAGGGTGCGGTGGGGGTGGGAGGGAATAAAGGGAGGCTGATATGAAGGAGTTCAAGAAGAAAGTGTTTTGAAATTGATCGTGGTAGCAATTGTACAATACTGCTTGAGGTGATGGAACTATGGATTGTTATGATATCTGCAAGAGTTCCCAATAAAAGGATTATAAATAAATAAAAGAAGCCATTTCTGACCACGTAATTGAAAACTCCCCCCCTCCCTTCACCCTTCTCCCCTACTTTATTTTTCTCCGTAGCACTTACTTCCATCTAACATAAGATATATTTTACATATTTTGTTTGCCTCTTCCCACTCTGCGGCAAGCTCCACTAATGAAGAGTGGGTTTTTCTTTTTTTGGGGGGCGGGGGTGGGGGGTTGTTATTGTTGTTTGAGTTTACAGTACTTCAGAGCCTAGAACAGAGATCCCCAGTACCTATTAATAAATGAATTAATGAATAGTAACTTCCTTGTAGAATTCCTTTGTACATTACATAAGGTAAACAAGCAAATTCTGAGACTAGAAAGTACTCAGTAGATGCTTAAGTTTATTGTCACCTTCACAGCATGTTTATCTCTCATCAGCTTTGGTTGGAAATGCTATCACACAGGAAGTACTGCATCCTTTAGGGTTTTCAATGCTAGTGATCATATGGAAGTAGATCCCCGGGCCAATTTCAGAGGTATTGCTGGGTGGGTTTGAACTACTAAATATTCTGGTAGTGGCCAAGTGTAAACTGTTTGTTTCCCATGGACTTCTATTTTTTTTAATTGCTTTAAATAAAGATTGTACTTTAGTAAGAGAAGTACAAAACATACAATTAGCTTTTCCTTTTTTAAAAAAAATCATTTTATTGGGGCTTTATACAGTTCTTATCACAATCCATACATCTATCCATTGTGTCAAGCATGTTTGTACATTTGTTGCCATCATTATTCTCAAAACATTTTCTTTCTACTTGAGCCCTTGGTATCAGTTCCTTATTTTTCCCCTCCCTCCCTCCCTCACGAACCCTTGATAATTTGTAAATTATTATTTTTTCATGTCTTACACTGACCATTGTCTCCCTTCACCTACTTTTCTGTTGTGTGTCTCCCTGGGAGGGGGATAGCTTTTCCTTTTACAGAATGAATTTGCCTTTAATTTTCTAGATCCATAAAAATATTTTGTCAATATTTCTTAAATTTTTTTCTGCATCGAGAAAGTAACTGAAAAATGAGCCCTGTCTACCGCATTTTGCATATTTGTGTGTGTGTGTGTTATGGGGTGAAGGGTGGTAAAAGTTTATTTACAGATAATTGTATAATTGTATCCATTATGGTCCAAGGCTAATGCTTGAAAAGTTTTATTTGACTAATCATTCTTTGTTTCAGGAAGCTTGTAGATCTAATGGATAGTTAAATAGGAGCAATATATTTGTAAATTATTAACACAGCATTTCCTTATGAAATGCCTTACATTAGTAGTAAGCATGAATGGGAATTGCATTTCCTGTACTTCATTATTGAAGCCATTATTTTTATTCTGGTAGGCTCATAGCTGGCAGCCTGGAATAAAGAATCCATACCGTGGTGTTGTAGTGTGGCCTGTTCCTGAAAACATTGAAATCACTGTGACACTTTTTAAGGTAAGTTCTATTTTTGTACCTTGTTCATTATTATTATAGTATGCATTATTTTATTTATTATATAATATTTTATTATACAATATTAATACTTTTGTTATAAATTTATTATTATATTTATTATTATTATAATCATTATTCTATACCTATCCAGTCTCATGTGCATTATTTTGGGGATACTAGCAATTTTAACATTGCAAGTTAATGTTATGCTTCACATTAACTTCACAATCTCATGCTCTGTGAAGTCCAAATAATGTGTAAACCCTCAAAATCCAAACCCATTGCCATTGACTCCAACTCATAGTAACTGAGGCTGTCCATCTTTTTTTGTCTTTTAAATCATTTTATTAGGGGCTCATACAACTCATCACAATCCATACATACATCAATTGTGTAAAGCACATTTGTGCATTCATTGCCCTCATCATTCTCAAAACATTTCCTCTCCACCTAAGCCCCTAGCATCAGTTCCTCCTTTTTTCTACTCCCTCCCTGCTCCCTTCTCCCTCATGAACCCTTGATAATTTATAAATGATTATTTTGTCATATCTTGTCGATCTTTTTAAAGAGTTTTATTACTTAATTCACATAGTCATACAACTTAATCATGCATTCATATAAAGAAGAGTTGTGCAATCATCACCACAATCCATTTCAGAACATTCTCTCATACTTGCTGTTAGCTCTCTATTTCTTCCCAACCTCCCCTGCTATGACACTAGGTAATTCTTAATCTAGTTACTGTCGCTATAGCTTTACCTATAGAGTAAATCCTGGATTTCATCTGCAGATAATTTTACAAAACACAAACAGGAAGTAAACAACAACAAAAATCTAGCTATAATGACAAAACAAAACAAAAACCTCAATCAAAAGGAAGTAGAAAATATTAAAACCTGAAACAACTTTAAAATGGGTCAAAAGAGAAATCAAATGATAAAGTGCTACATTTTAGCAGGAATACATCTACCATAATTGACTTTATTTATAATGTTCTCTTAATGCTAATGAAAGCATTGTTATTCACATCCCTGAGCTATGGTCTGAAGGGATTCATCAGAAGCTTAATCCATGTGGGGATTCTGCAAATGCATTTTGGGTTTCCATTGTCATCAGTAACCTTCTGGAAGTCAGTTGTTCAGAATATTAGCTCTGATATTGTTCCCTCTTTGGGATTTGGATTTTATAATTTATAGTCCTTTGATCACACAGGCTGGTGGTGTTCCTCCATATGGACTTAGTTGATACTTTGGCTATAGATCTTTACAGGAGCAGGTGGAGCTGCTGGTCGGTTTGAACTACTGACCTTGTGCTTAGCACTCCAATGCTTACCAAAAGCACCACCAGGCCTCCTTTAGTACTTCTACATACCCTGTGTTTCAGAGTCACTTGGCTTTACAAAAAGTTCTGAATGGGTTATGCTATGTATATTTTATAGTTTTGATATTACTATAATTGCTATATATTTACTGTACTTTATTTACTCATGGAGAAGAGACAGGACATGCTCTTTCTTTTCTCAGGACAGTCAGAAATGTCTATTACTTTTCAACCAGCTGGTGTAAAAACCTGTTTTCAACCCATCTGAATCATATTTCTCTTACTAAAATGTATCCTAAGCTTGGTAGTTATTGCTAAGAACTTTCAATCAGATGAGTGTTATATATATTATGTATTTTACTTGTCACAGCAACCCTACAGTTCTACTGTTAATCTCTTTTACTAATAAGGAATCTGAGATGAGGCACAGAAAGGTAGTTTGCGTAATCACACTGTGGATTAGCTCCGTGCCTTCCTGTACACCACACTCTTTAGTGTATAATAAAAATGTTTCTGCATACATGTTGCAATGACAATATCTCAGACTTGTGTGGGGGAGGCTTTTAAATAGCCTGTGTAAAGCAGATGAAGAGCCAGGGGTTTACCGCTTTAAAAAGCAAATGGTGATCAAGAACATGGGGTTAGACTCAAGCTGATAGTTAGCTGACCACCATGTGTTTGGAGAATTGATAAGTACTGACTGTGTGGGTCTGAGCTGCGATCAGCGGCTGGAAATGTGTTCCTTGGGAGGATTAGGTGAGGAGCGTGATTTCCAGTACTGCTGAGAACGGTGAGGATATCCTCATCGCTGGACTTTGATGGCTTTCTCATATTGGTCTGGAGAGGTTTAGAGGGGGAAATCAAATGTGCCGCCCTCCTCAGTTTACTGTATTAAGCATTTCTGAATTGTGCTATTGAGTTTACTTTGCCCTTGTGCTCTTGAACATATAAAAAGTTTCTGATGACCATTTTTAATATTTAAATGAATATTTTCAACCGATACTTTCATTTTTCTGACCTTCCTTTGTCCTCAAAATTCTAATAGAAAAGTGAAAAAATGAGAAACACAATTCTTTCATACTAATTTTGGGATTCTGCTTTGGACTAGCGGTGAAAAATGCAAATGAAACATTTGCTCCTATTTCCCCCCTCCACACTTTCCCACTTGTGTTGAAGACTCACAATTCATATAATTGGGCAGTTTGCAAATAGGAAAGGAAAGGGCTGTTCTGGACCCTTTTTGTCTCTAGGGTAGAATTCACAGGGAGATACACTCATAGAGGTTCTACTTTTAAAACACATTACCAGTATGTTGCATTTGTTAGTTTAATTAGAAATTCCTTTTTTAGCCTGCATGCTTAGGTTTAAAATTTGAATTTTATTGAAAATAGCTCTATTTCTAGTCAGTTTTTTAAAAATGTCTTCTTTTTTTTTTAATAATTGAGAAGGAAATTAGCCTTCTAGCCATTTTCGATTTTTCTCTTAAGTGCAGTGGTCAGAAAAGAGACAGTGGAGGGTGGAGAGAAAGATTGAATTGATTTAAGCTAGAAGCAATGTTCATTGCAAATGCTTTTGTCTGGTCAACAATATAAATAGTTAAATACATTGATATTTCATTCCTCCCTGTCCCTCCATCCCCCCTTCCTTTATAGCCACTCAGACCAATGTTTAGATCTGATGGGTAAGGAATCTAGAGACTTTTTAAAGCTGTGACCTTTCTCTATAAGTAAATATACATATTTCCCTTTCATTTGTGGGATATAATACTTAGAAAGAAAAATATCTTCTATGACGTTACAAAGCCTATCTCATCAAATCAGTAGTAGGATCCCATTAAACGCTCACACATGTGTTTTTCTCCTTTTCTTTTCCCACCCTGCTTTCCTCCCGCTATAGTTCCTGTCCCTTCCGTCTCCTCCCCCAGACTCGGGCCTCATTGCAGTTTCTGAAGTCCTATCCTTTGGTGTGAAAACCATTGTCTTTTTATTTATTTTCCCAAATAAACATTTCATGTAATATTCATCTTTATGAGATAGACTAGCTTTGCTAAGAATTATGCTTTCTAATTTTGTCCATGTCTTAAGGTGTTTGATAGACTGGTCATTGTTTTTTAAGAATTCATAATATTCCATTTGTATGAATATACGAGAGTTTGTTTATCCATTCCTTTAGAGTCAGTTTTTTATGTTTCTATCTTTTTGCCATTATAGAAATTGCTGCAGTAAACATAGGTGTGCATATGTCTATGTGTATTTTGTTCTTTATTGCTTTAGGGTATATATCAATTGGAGAGATTGCAAGACCATAGTTATTTGTATTTGCATTTGTTGAAGGAAAGCACCATACTGTTTTCCATAGTGGTTGTATAATTCTGCAATCCCCACCAGCAATCTAGGAACATTCTAATCTCTCCACATCCTCACCAGCAATTATTTTGTTTTTCTTTGTTGTTGTTTTTTTAAAAAAAACTTTTTGAGTGTCACTGTGAGGTGCTAGCTCATTGTTGCAACTTATATATCTCTTACTGGTGATGAACACAAACATTTCTCCATATAATTGTTGGCTGCCAGTATGTCATCTGTGGATATGCCATTTTTAAGTGGTTTCGAAATGAACCATATTGCTGCTGCTTTCACATCTTTTGACTGGCTTTGCTGTGTCAGATGTGTTCCTTACTCCCATTGAATTTATTCTTTAGTCAGAATTCTTTTAGGGTGTTGCACCATCTGTGTTTTTTAAAATGTTTCATCTGCTTTCAGTATTTATGTATGTTGTATATGTGTAAAGTACTGTTCAGTGTTTTTTTAACAACAAAAACCACGATCATTGCTTTCAAGTTGATTCTGAATCATAGGGACTTACAAGACTACAAGTAGAACTACCCCAGAGGATGTTTAAGACCACATTTTTTTCTGATGAGTAGCTGGTGGGTTTGAACAGCTGACCTTTTAGTTAGCCTCCCAGCACTTAACCACTGTGTCAGCCTTGACAACCTATGGCGCAGTTCTCATGGGGATGCCATTAACCAGAATGAACATAATTACTTGTACATTAATCAGATATTGTGGAGAGTGTACTATGTGCTATATACAGTATCCTGGGGATACAGTGGCAAGATTAGGATGGCAAAGTGCTTAAGAAATCAGATCGACCTGGACTGCATCATAGCTTTAACATGTATTGTGCACTGTGGGAAGTTGTATCTTTTAAATACGTGCTCTACTCTGTAATGGGAATAAATATAGTACCTGTGTCATAGGTTGCTCTGATGATTAAAACTCAGCATAATAATTTGGACATGGTGAATGATCAGTAAATATTTTATTAACACTAGGATGATCATAACTGTGTGGGAAGGAGGCCTGGTGCAGCACTGGTTACGCGCTTGCCTGCTAGCCCATGGGTCTGCCGTTCAAACCCACTAGTTGTGGCAACATTGTGCCACATTTTATTCCTTGGTTTCTACAGCAGCACTGCTGGTACCCAAAATTCCTCATGGAAAAGCTTCTTCAGCCTTTCTTTACAGCCCCTTCTCTGCATAGACGTACTTGTTGTTCAGTGCCAGACTGGGGAAATAAATACAAGTAGATTCTCTACTTCCTTCTCATTTTACTCTGTTTACTAGCCCCCTCTCCTTCCTCTCTTGAATCATATAACCACCAAAGATCACTGCTTTGGCAGATCTTTATCCCCCGTGTTTGAATTTACTCATAAAGATAGTTGCTCCAGTGCAGCTCAGGCCAGCTCCGCCAGGTACCCTGGCTTATTATACTTATTATAATATGCAGAACTAATGAAATACTTAAGGATTTTATAATTTAACCTGGAGGTTGTAGGAGTCATTAAAGACATCCGTTGGCACTCATGTGATCAGAATAGTGCTTTGGAAAAACTATTGTTTGTGCACAGTGGATTCTGGCTCATGGCAGCACCATGAGAACTGCACCACAGGTGTGCAAGGCTGGCCCTTTCTAGGAGCAGATGGCTTGACTTTTCTTCTGCGGTTCCTTTGGGTGGATGTGACCACCGGCCTTTTGGTTGGTAGTTGAGCTCTTACCCATTTGCGCTACTCGGGGATTCGGTGAATATGTATCTGTTGGCACGGTGGTTAAGTGCTGCGACGCTAACAAAAAGGTCAGCTGTTCAAACGTACCAGCTACTCATCAGAAAAAAGATTTGGCAAAGAAATAAATTGAGAAAATGCCTCAGTAATTATTATCTTGAAATAGCTGAGGCACACAGTGATAGCATCCAAACCCAGCTGTGGCAATAGAAACCAAAGATCAACTCATAAACTAAAGTGCAATCAATCACAAATAAGATGCTTCCTCATGAGGAATTTGAAGACTTGAAACACCCAGTGCACATTGAGTGGACTGTTGAGCCAGAGGACTCCTTGTGGCATAGTGGGTTATGCTCTGTGCTGCTAACTTAACTGGGTTCAACGGTTTGAACGCACCAGCCCACAGGAGCCAGGTGAGACTTTCTGATCCTGGAAAGACCGATAGCTCCAGAAACCTTAGAAGCAGTTTTACTCTGCCTTATATGGTTGCTATGAGTCAAAATCAACTCTGTGGTACTAATTTTTAAAATTAAATATTCACTCTCAACTCTCCCACTCCTGCCCACATATAATAGAACACATATAATAGAAATTGAGTAAGTTAAATGAACACATGATGTGACCTTACTGTTTTACTGTTAATGACTCTTTCTCTGTTAACTTACTCTAATGTCTGTGGAAGTTCTTCACACCTAACTCAGGTGCTCACTTTTTTTTTTAGTCATTTTCTTTGGGGCTTGTACAGCTCTTATCACAATCCATACATCCATCCATTGTGTCAAGCACATTTACATTTGTTGCCATCATTATTTTCAAAACATTTCTACTGCTGGAGCCTTTGGTATCAGCTCCTCATTTCCCCCCTCCCTCTCCTATCCTCCTTCCCTCTTGAACCCTTGATAGTTTATAAATTATTATTATCTTTTCATGTATTACACTGACCAATGTCTCCCTTCACCCACTTTTCTGTTGTCTGTCCCCCATGGAAGGGGTTATATGTAGATCACCTTCCCCTCCTGGTATTACTACAGTCCTTACTGTTCCTGAGGGGTTTATCTGTCCTGGACTCCCTGTGTTTCTAGCTCTGATCTGTACCCAGGTACATGCTCTGGTCTAGCTGGATTTGTAAGGTAGAATTGGGGCCATGATAGTGGGAGGGAGGAACCATTAAAGAACTAGAGGAAAGTTGTATGTTTCATCAGTGCTATACTGGACCCTGACTGGCTTGTCTCTTCCTTGTAACCCTTCTGCCAGGGGATGTCGAATTGTCTACAGATGGGCTTTGGGTCTCCACTCTGCACTCCCCCTCATTCACATTGATATGATTTTTTGTTCTGAGTCTTTGATTCCAATACCTGATCCCATCAACACCTCATGATCACACAGGGTGGTGTGCTTCTTCCATGTGGGCTTTGTTGCTTCTCAGCTACATGGCCCCTTGTTTATCTTCAAGCCTTTAAGACCCCAGATGCTATTATCTTTTGATAGCTGGGCACCATCAGCTTTCTTCACCACATTTGCGTATGTACCCATTTTGTCTTCAATGATTGTGTTGGGAAGGTGAGCATCACAGAATGCTGGGTTATTAAAATAAAGTGTTCTTGCATTGAGGGAATACTTGAGTAGAGGTCCAATGTCTGTCTGCTCCCTTAATACTTAACATATAAATATATGTACATAGATCTATTTCCCTATTGTTATATATAAATATATTTACATATGTATATGCCTGTATTTAGACCTCTATAAATGCTCTTTGCCTCCTAGTTATTTCCTCTGTTTCCTTTTACTTTCCTCTTGTCCCACTATCATGTTCAGCCTTCACTTGGGTTTCAGTAATTCCTCTCAATTATATTGCCCTTGATCAAGCCTTACCAGGCATACTAATCCTACACCCTCCTTGCCATCAATTTTAGATTACTTGTTGTTCCTTTGTCCCTGGATTTGTTGACACTCCCCTTCCTTTTCCCCACCTCCCCTTCTCTTGTGTCTCCTCTCCACCCCATCCTCGAAACCATACGTCCCCTTGTTTTCTCCTCCATATTGTTTCTCCTGTCTATCTTATCTAGATAGATGTGCAGAGACAATAATAAGCACAAAAACAGACAGAAAAACAAAAGAACAAAAAACAAACAACAAAATAAAACCAACAACAAATAAATAGCTCCAGGTCTGTTTGTTGACCTTTAGGTGTGTTTTCTGGTCGCATCTGATGGGGTGCCATGCCCTGGCCCCAAAGTCTATTTTTGGTATTCCCCGGGTACCTCATTGCTTTGCTCTCCTTGCTGCTCCCTTGCACGCCCTTAGCTTTTCGACTTGGTGTGGTGTCAGATCGGGCACAGTTCCCACACTGTGAATCCAGTGATGTCCCTCATAGCGCTATGGGTCAGTGAGGGACGTCTGTCTCGTGGTGGGACTGGCCCTATGGTCCTCTCTATGCATTGGCTGCTCTGAGCAGGAATATCATCCTCAGGGCTTGGTGGGCCAGGGTGTGGTCCACTCTCTTTCCTTCCCTCTTGCACCTGTGTGCTCTGATCAGACGCGCCCCTTTCCCTGAGCTGTAGCTTCAGTACTGGCCTCTGAAGTGAATTCTTCTGGAGGGAGGGGTGTCCATGTAGTTTGGATTAGGGCTGGCCTCGCAGACCTCTCTATTGGTTCCCTGCTTCATGCTGGTATGTCACATTCACATCTTGGTGTACTGGGTTGAAGTCTGGTCCTTTTCTCCATCTCTTAGGTGCTCAGTTTCTTATGAAAAAAGGAAGATGCATGTTCTAATCTCTGCTAAAACCATTTATTTCAATCACCCTATATTAGTGTAGATTAGTTATTATATTTGTTTTCAAAGCCAATGACAAGTATATATGAATTCATGTAACACCTCTACAATCACTTATATAATAAGTTCCCCCAAATATTTGTCAAATCAATGCCAAGGGAGAGCGGGAAATTTTACCTGCAGAACTATGTATTATTACAGAGAATGCATTTGGTTGTAGGATCCATCACCCTTTATCAGGTTTCTGTGGCTTTTCGAGGTTTAATAGTGGATGTGAACAGTGTATCTACATTATGAAATCTTTCACAGTACTTTGAAATCCCAGATATTTACATAACCTCTGAACTGAAGAAAACTTTGCTTCAATTGTTACATTTAGTTTAAAATACTTAAGTATAAAAAATGAGGACAGGGCGCTTTTTTATCATTTTATTAGGGGCTCATACAACTCTTATCACAATCCATACATATATCAATTGTATAAAGCACATTTGTACATTCATTGCCCTCATCATTCTCAAAACATTGGCTCTCCAGTTAAGCCCCTGGCATTAGCTCCTCATTTTCCCCTCCCTCCCCGCTCCCCTCTCCGTCATGAACCCTTGATAATTTATAAATTATTATTTTGTCATTTCTTGCCCTGTCCGACGTCTCCCTTCACCCACTTTTCTGTTGTCCATCCTCTAGGAAGAGGTTAAATGTAGATCATTGTAATTGGTTCCCCCTTACCACCCCACCCTCCCGGTATCACCACTCTCACCACTGGTCCTGAAGGGATCATCCGCCCTGGATTTCCTGTTTTTCCATTTCCTATCTGTACCAGTGCACATCCTCTGTTCTAGCCATATTTGTAAGGTAGAATTGGGATCATGATAGTGGGGGGTAGGGGGGAGGAAGCATTTAGCAACTAGAGGGAAGTTGTATGTTTCATTGTTGCTACACTGCACCGTGACTGGCTCGTTTCCTTCCCGCAACCCTTCCGTAAGGGGAGAAAACAGGGTGTTTTATGAGCATTCAATATCCTAATAAAGTGCTTCTTAATAGTTTATTCACTGGCTCAAATGTCTGTCCAGGTTTCTTTTTAATACATGCCATGATAGAAGATTAAGTGTCAACATAAGCAACATAGAGAATTTCTTAATATAAAATAATGATTTCAATTTATAGAAATTATGAAAGTGTCATCAAAATTATTTATGCTGCCTCTCCTTAAAGGGATAGTAAAGGTTATATACTTTTATGATTATTTTTATAAATATAAATATTTATATAAGCATATTAATTTCTATTTAAAGGGATGTTTATATTATTTAATTGGCTTGATTTAAGATATGTATTCCAACTTCATGTTTTGATTTTATTATAGGATCCTCATGCAGAGGAATTTGAAGACAAAGAGTGGACTTTTGTCATAGAAAATGTAAGCTAATAGCAAATTCCTTTACCTTTCACATTTGTGATTATAAACTTTTCTAAGGTGCGTTAGCTTTTTGGTTGTAGAAGAAATGTTACCATATGAAAATTAAAAAGTGATTTGTAACAGATTTTGTTTTCATGTAAATGGTAGCTAGTAACAGTATAATTTGTTAGAAATGCTTTTATTAAAGCAGGAAACATAGATAAGCTCTTCAGTACTGAATTATATATGGGTAGTATATTAATATAAACAAATCAAATCTTCTTCCATGGAGTTAGAATCTGACTCTGGCTGTAGATTTGGTTTGTTTTTATTAGCCTCTGATCTATAATGGGGTTCCATTCAGATGACTCTGGTATAAGTTGGCCTTGACATAAGTAGAAGATCCTCTTTTTTCCCCTGCAGTTTTGATTACTATTGCATTTTGTTATCAGTGTCTTTAAAATTCTGGTCTTTGTCTTTGAGTTTGGAAACTTCGCATATGAACTTACAGATATATTTGAATACATAATTGTGTACATAAAAGAAATGCAGAAATCATAAAAATGTACTCCAAAAGTGAAGAAGAGTTGGATGACATTGGTGTTTTATTAGTTCAGGTAGTAATGCCACTTGAAGAAGATTTACCTGGATTATCCTTGGGAATAGAGATGGTCTTTTTTTTTTTTTGAGATGGTCTTTTTAGATAAAATATTAAGAATTTTTTATATGTCCTTTTTTTTCTTCATATATTTCACGGGAACATTTCACTGCTTCCTGGAGTTGCTTATCAATTTTAGCAGAACAATCAGTGTTTGGGTCTGTCTTTTAGAGCAAATGAAGCCCTCAATTTAGTTTAGAAAACAAAATCTGTGTGGCTGTGTTTTGAATAGTAAATTACAATATCAAAGATCGGCCAGTAAACACCTGAGAATGAAAACATAAGCAGATTTTGTTCCATAATATTATGTGTAGTACATATTAATGATAGGATACATTTTACACACACACACACACACACACACAGAGCTCTGTTGGTTGTAAGTGTGATTCATTGTCATTTGAATGTTGAAGATGACCGTGTGTATTCTGTTTAGGATCTGTGTCTTACTCATCTTTTTATCTGTCATTTAGTATGATGTTTCTAACACAGTAGATGTTCAATTAAGCATTTGTTGACTGAAAATAATGAATGGCCCTTGAAATCTTTGAAAATAAAACATTTGCTTTGACTTCTTGTTTGGGTGGAGCCATGTAGAGGGGCACTTTAATAACCGTTATGTTAATTTATAGGTGTGGAATCCTAAGTGACTAGTAGGCATATAGAAATCCCTGGGTGGTGCTAACAGTTGACACACTTGACTACGAACCATAAGGTTAGCAGTTCTTGTTTACCCAGAGGTACCTCAGAAAAGGGACCTGCTTATCAGCTTCTGAGAAATTAGCTAATCGAGACTCAATGGAGAACAATTCTATCCTGACATGCATGGGGTCTTTGTGAGTCACAATTGAATCTATGCCAAGCTAGTGTTTTGATAATAGACATCTAAATTAGAAAAATCTAAACCCACAGCCATCGAGTTGACTCTGACTCAGTGACCCTACAGGACAGCAAAACTGCTCCACTGGGTTTCCAAGGCTGCAGTCTTTACAGGAGCAGACAGCTGCTCCATCTTCTGCAGAGCAGCTGGCCTTCAGGGTAGCAGACCAACACTTAATCTGCTGTGCCCCTAGGGCTTTCCAGTAGGCATCTAGTAAGTGCTCAATAAATGACAATTTAATGAGTATTAGAGACGATAGACAAAGTATAGGAATTATGGATTCGAGCTTGATTTCAAATTCTAATATTTTCACTTACAACTTCTTTATTATGGGCAATTTCCTCGGTTCTCTAAAAATCATTCTGCTCAGGTTGTTGTAAGAATTAAATAATTCTCAGTGAATATTAACTTTCACTATCATTGTCATCATCATCATAGCTCTAAAACATGTTTATAGCAGGCTTACAGTATACATTACAGCATAGTCTTCCTTTTAAGCATGCCTGAATCCTGTTTTATGTGTCAGTAATAAAATGAATCATACTCTTTCTCCATTTTTAGACTTGAAACGATGGAAAGTTTGTGAGTGAGTTCAGGTTCTAACATAGTAAGAGGATTCTAGTGGCTTGGTCTCAAGCCAATATTAGTGTGCTAAGTATCCTTGTAGCCTTTTAATGGAATATGTTTTTTTTAAAAGCTTATTTTTCTCATTTGCCGATATATTACTAAGGTGATTGAAATTACTAGAAATATGACTGCCACATAAGGGAATAAGGTAGGAAAACAGAGAATAAAATGTTAACATTTGTTCTTCACAAACATCTTTGAATAAATTAGATTTATTAAAAATTCAATACAATGATATGAATGGCTTTTAACTATATTTATGTTTACAAAGCTAACATTTTTATTGAAATATTCCTAGAAATTAGATTTTAACCATGTAATTCAGATGATTGAAGACTTTGAATGATATGGTGGTAGAAAGAGCATTGCATTTATGAAGTGTGTCAGTTAGGGTTTTAATAACTGAAGGATATTCTGCCTCCGCGTATTCCTATTTGAAAAATACTGTGGTTTTTTTTCACATCTCTTGTTGTTAGCTGGGGTCAGCTTTACAGAGAGCACCGTGCACACAACAGAACGAAATGCTGTTCGAGCTTGCACCGTCCCGTGATCAAGTGTGCTCAGTCTGTTACCGGACCACAGAGTATTATTGGCCAGTTTTCAGAATTAGGTCTCCCAGCTCAGCGGTTCTCAACCTGTGGGGTGCGACCCTTTTGGGGGTCGAATGACCCTTTCACAGAGGTCGTCCGATTCACAGCAGTAGCAAAATGACAGTTAGGAAGTAGCAATGAAAATAATTTGATGGTTGGGGGGTCACCATAACATGAGGAACTGTATTAAAGAGTCGCAGCATCAGGGAGGTTGAGAACCACTGTCCAGCTGTGCTTCCTAGTCTTTCTTGGTCTGGAAGATCTGCTGAAACCTTAGCAACATGCAAGCTGTCTCTGAAATATATTGGCATGGAAAGAGGAATTTTATCATTGAACCACCAATGCCCCATTCCCATCTCCAGTGGAAACATGAATTTTGGATTGTATTAGGATTAACTATAATCTTGGTGTTATGTTTTCCAAACCAATTGACCTTGTCATGGTTATTCTCTAGGACTCCATTTCTTCAAAACAGGAAGATCTCTGCTAGATGACCTCAGATGGCTTTTCTAACCCAGTGATTGTATTTTTGTCAGTAGGGATATTTTCATAAGCTTTTTGAAAATCAATTCCAGTTCATGAAGAATAATCTATGTAGAGGAATTTTCTAATATAGTATTTTTAGAATATTAATACTTTAAAGGTTGTCTTTTAAAAACCCTTATTAGCTTATGTATTTTTCTATATATTTTTATTTCTGAAGTGAATTAGGAATACTGTTGCAAATCTCTGCCGAATTTTGAGTACAGCAGTTTCTTTCCCACCATTTTTTGTCTTTATAGCAGTTATTTCCAATGCCAGATAAAAAAGAGAAGAAAATAGAATTGGGCAATAAGCTAGCTTTTTATGTAAAGGAAGAGATTAGCCATTATAACAGAAACATAACTTGGCCATGAGTATCAAATAAAACATACTTAAAGAAAATATGCCCTCTTTTAAGAGATGGCCGGTACCCAGGGGAATTTACGGATTGATGAACTAATGTGAAAAAAATAAAATTCATCGGAATTTGGGAGGAACAGACAATTTCTCAGCGATTAGTAATGATAGCAGCTACAGTAACGCTTGCTAGGAACACACCCCATGCAAGAAAATAATCTAGCATTTCTATTAGGTAAGTTTTTATGGTTTCATTGTTAGTTTTTACAGCAGAGTTTTATGTGTCTTTTACATAGGTGATTTGGCCTATTTTACCCGTTTAAAATGTTTATTAAAACAACCAAACAATATTAAAAGGTAAAGAGAAAAGGTTAAAAACAAAATTCTTAATTTAAGCTAAACTAATTGATGCATTTTAACTGTTGGGTTGGTGAAGATTTTTAAATATCCCATGGACTGCCAACAGGACAAATAAATCAATCTAAGAAGAAATACAATCAGAATGCTGCTAGAAATAAAGGATGGTGATATTTGTTTGCTTTGGACATGTCATCAGAAAGACCAAATGCTAGCAAAGGACATCGTGTTTGGTAAAGTAGAGGCCAACGAAAACAATGGAAACCCATCATGAGATGAACTCACACAATAGCTGCAATAACGCACTCAAACTTATTAACAGTCACGAAGATGGTTTCATTCTCTTCTGCTCGTACAGCGTCCCCGTGAGTGGAAGTCAGCGTGACAGCAACTAGCAACTCAAAAGAGAGCAGGCTAATGTGCGTACTTTATAAGAAGACAAGTCATCACACACAGTGTACTTCTGAAGGTCAAAGGAAGAGTTTGTATTAAAAGTTCTTTAACAAAACAAAAAAGTGCTGAATTCTTACCTGCAAGAGAGATTAGAATTGGTTAGATCTTTCTCTCTGTAGTTTTCAAGAGGATTAATTTCTTCCTATAAGGACCAGCTCTGCAGAGTGAGAGAAATAAATGCATTTGGAGAATAGTTTCATTTTTCGTTCTTTTTCCAGGTGTGTTACCTCCTTTTATTTACTATGGAAAATCTAGGCCAGTTTTCTGCGATGCTAACAGGAACCCCCTCCGATAATTAAATTTAACAGGGGGAAGTTCTATCAGCCACATTTGATTATTGTATCTAGCACCTATGTCATAAATGCTCAATATATATTTGTTAAAAGAGTAAATTAATTGAGTGATTATAGTTAAATTAGTGAACTGTGAGAAATCTTGTAGGAGCTATTTTTTTCTTTTTCTTTTAAAAAAATCATTTTATTGGAGTCTCTTATAATAATCCATATATCAATTCTATCAGTCACATTTGTGCATACGTTGTCATCATTTTCAAAGCATTTTTTTCCCCTACTTGAGC